GGAGGAAGCATTAAAGAACTGTGGGAATGTTGTGTTTTGTTGGTGTTATACTGCACCCTGGCTGGCTAGTCCCTTCCTTGTGACCCTTCTGTGAGGGGATGCCCAATTGTCTACAGATGGGCTTTGGGTCTCCACTCTGACCCACCTCATCCGAATCAGTGTGATTGTTTGTTTTGGGTCTTCTGATGCCTGGTACCTGATCCCATCAATACCTCATAACCACACGGGTTGGTGTGCTTCTTCCATGTGGGTTTTGTTGCTTCCCTGATAGATGGCCAATTGTTTAACTTCAAGCCTTTAAGACTCCAGTGGGAGTGGGTCCAGGAATTAGAACATGTGACTAAATGTGCTATAAAGTCATTAAAAAAAATCAACTTTTAGTTAGGCTTTCCTTTTAAGCATAGTTTCCTATTACTGTTCCGTGTGGTGACTGCTCTTTAAAAACAAAATAAACCAACAAAGTAACACCTTTGCTTCACCTCAATCGCCCTCCACTTGAAATCTAATCATTTCTCTGATGGGAAGCAACATGCCTTAAACAGGCGCATTCCTCCCCTTCCGGAATCGCCTGGGACAGACCGGAGAATCCCGCCTGGCAAACAACGCCGGCTGCTAATAAACGGCGCTCATTCACTTTGCTCAACGGTATGTCTGCAGGAACGCCGGGCTACAGAAGGAATGGATGTTTCATTGTAGATAATGAAGAAGGGTGTCATCAAGCAAATTCAGCAATGGGTGTTAACAAGACAGTAACACACTGCTACAATGGCACATCCAGGGACGTGAATCCGAATGAAACAGCGCATGCATCGGCACATTATCCCCATGTCAGTGGGGCAAACCCGACGGTAGTTCCTCAGGAGAAAGATGAGGATTTCGTCGCCAAACTGCAACGGGCAGTTCTACTCTGTTCTCTGAGTAGAATTGTTAGTGAGTTTTGGTTGGTAGTCGGAATTGTTGGTAGTGAGTTTGGTTCTTGTGATTTTTATTCACTCCAACCGTGAGTGGTGGAAGGTCCCCTCAAATTCCACCTTACGCCCTCCAGTCTGGGGCAACAAAGTGGCCTGGTTGTCAATGAAGTGGGCAAAGGAATGCCCTTCAGGAGGGCCTGGTGGGGCAAAGCAGTTTGAGCTGGCTGCCAACGGAAAGATTGGCAGTTTCGGGCCACCCAGAGGTACCTCAGAAAAAGCCCGGTGATCTCCTTCCCAGCTCCCAGCCACTGCAAACCCACACCGGAGAGGGCACTGAGCGCTGCCGAGACAGGACCAGCTTGTTCCTTGGGACCCTGCTGGAGCAGACCCAGGAGGAGGGAGTCGGTGTAGAAGGGTGGATCATGGAAAGTGCTTATTTACATCCAAGTGTCTTCAGAAGAGATAAGGCAGATTCACACTGCTTAGCCATCAGCCAACCGCTCTAGATTCTGTGTCACCGGTGACTGAGCTCCTCTAAACAGGGCTGGGCATGCACACCTGTCTCCATGGGAAGCATTCCACCCAAGGGGTAAAGGCGGCCTTTTGAGAATGGATGCCCGGTAGCCACAGGTGCCAGCCCAGCCACCTTCTCTGAAGACATGTGCTTCCTGTCCAGAGGCTCTGCTCTGAAATTCAAGCTGTGGATTGGGTAAAAGTAACCAGAATATGGAAGCTTGGTTTAGACTTAGGAAAACGGCCAGTGTCTCCACGGGAGTCACGTGGTTGAATTTGCAGGCCCACATGGGAAGAATGGTAACGTGTTGAGGGGATGAGTCAACAGCTCAGCACCACAGTCCCAAGGGACATGTAGGTCAAATGGCCCTAAATAATTCTCCATCTAATTTCGGTGTTAGCAACGGCGGCATAAAAACTGCGAGCAGCCATCTAAAGAGGAGTGAAGACAACCAAAAGCTCAAGGAAACCGCTGCTTCAGGGGACTCTGGGACCACCCATAGGACAGGCTCTACTAGCCTGGTGCCTGGAAGACTAGATGGTGCCCCCATATCACTTTACCAATTGGGAGCACAGTAGATGGTTCTGGACAGGAGGAAAGTGTGGGACAATGTTCAAAATGACTCTCTGATAGAAACTCGCGGCCCTCAGACATGGAACTGAATCTGCTGCCAGAGATCACTTTTCGGCCAGTCGGGCCTGTGACGGGAGCAGCAACATCAGAGAGAATGGTGCTCCTCAGAACGATCAACCGAGGCCCAAAGGGCAACATTTGCTAAACACGAAAAAGTTCACAAGGCAGGAAGGGGCAGAAAAGCTGAGCCGATGGAAAGAGGAACCGGGAGGAAGTGTGAGATGGGGTGCTGGCAACTGATCTCTCGAAAGGAGATGTGGAGAAATTGCTGACTGGGGGGAATGATTTGGCTGCGTACACTTCCACCTAAGCCACGATACAATGTTCATAAAAAGTCCTGGTAAGTTAGGAGACAACCATACTCTAACAGCCCCTCGGTTTTTCTGCTGACTTCCAGCTGTGTGGAAGATGAAACTTTGGACAGCCAGGTGTCTCCTGTTCAACAACTGCCAAAGCCCTGCTGGTCAGGGCAGCGTGAACTTGGCTGGTCAGCGACTCCCTGGACTGGCTCAGTCTGGACCCGCTTGTGGCGAGTGACTGGGCTTGCTCTCAGGGGCACCCGTTAAGTGTGGGGCTACTGCTGACAAAAGGAAGATCCTGGCCAGTTCCAAAGGGACAAGCCACCCCGTCTACTAAACAAAGTCAGTTGTTACCATGTCCCCAGAAGGCCGCGGAGACCCATTTAACTTGGGGCACCTGGCTGAACCATTAGAAACCAACCGAACCCACGTTCTGAGTTGAGTAAGTCTCAGAGGTCCAGAGGCCTGCTGTCACCCGCTGTGAACACGGGGCAGTTGACAAGGACTCAAGCTACGGAGCTGAATCCATGTGGGACCCTTCCAAGTCCTAGACCTTGGCCCTTTGCCACGTGGGGTCTTATTTGGGAAAAATGACCCTGGGTACACCGGGAGAGCAGGGTTCAGTCCACGCAGGCTGCTCAGTCCCAGGTGACAGACCAGTGCATCCCAGCAGGGACAGGGCATGTGTGCCCAAGCCTTCAGGACCTCACTTGGCGTCGAGACTCTGCTAGGCTCTCTCCTTTGTACTGGGACGGAGAGGAGGAAGTGTGGGAGGTCATGTGCGTGGGACAGTGGCCAGGACAGCCTCCCTGCAATTGCCTTGGGCGTGCAGGAGGGACTGGGAGAGCAGCCTGTGAGGGAGGGCCTCTAAGAAGGCGCAGAGTTTGAAACATTCAGAAAACCATGGTGCAGAATGAAACACCAGGCTCATCCTGTCTGTCTCTAGGAGTTCTTCCACTCACTGCCTTAATGAATCAATCACTGCATCCCGAGGGCCTGGCAGAAGACTCTCCATGATTCCTGATCAGGAATTCCCCCGGATGAGCAAAGGGACCCCCGCTGTGTTTCCCAGCATGAGGGGTGTGTGAGATGACTCCAGGGCCCTGGAGGCAGAGGGAGTGTCTGGGCCACCAAGGTCAAATATGTGAGTAACAGATGTCGGCTCCCCTGCCGTCAGCAGCATGACAGAACTCCCGGGAGGGCAGGGGTGAAGGGAGAGAATTATTAATAGAGGTTCAACGTTTTGGTGTCCAGTCAAACAGCAACGGGAATCACCGTCTGGGGCTGTGGAGAGAAATCTAAAAACCAAATCTGTGTCCTTTATTCCACTGGGCAGGCAACCGTGCGCCACATACTGGGCTCGGTGTCAAGAGCTGCTGGCGGGAAGGTTCGCTGGGCCTGGGCCACACAGCTGCCTGGACTCTTGCTTTGCTGGTGGCTTGGGGGGGGGGGGGGGGCAGTGGAGCGAAGCTCTGAGGCAGTGCCCCTCGCTGACCCCCAGCACTGACGGGAAGTGGGGAGCAGGACCATGATGGAGGGGATGCAGCAGGGGGCCGGGACATTTTGACGTGAAAGCCGCTTCCACCAGCACTGCAGACAGGGGTGACACGGCTGCCAGGCCTTCTGGAAGGCCCTCTCCCTTCTCCTCTGCAGCAACACTGTGGCCAAGATCAGGAAGCAGAGGCCTCACAAGTCCAGGGAGGAACCGGTCATCAGAAAGATGCAGCAGCCCCTCTCTGGGACCTGATCTTCCCGGAGCCGTGCTCTCTGGGGCTGTCAGGATGAGGCGGGGAGCAGAGAGGAGGGGACGAGAGGCTGCCAGCCCGAGGACGGAGGTGGGGACCAGGCAACAAGGCCAGTGTTCAGTGGAATCCTGGGTAGGAGATCCGATACCCCGGGGCTCAGTCCCCACCAGAGATGGAAGAACTGGGGCAGAGGCCGCTTGGCCACTTCTCTAGGAGACAGAAGTCAGGCACCAAGTAAGAAGGACCCATGCAGAACTGCCATTAACAGGCAGCCTCCCAGCCCTCAGCACTCTCAGATGGCAGCAAGTGGCCGGAGCAGGTGCAGCCTGACGGCCTATTGCGCTGATGTCATGGCGAGTGCCCAGTCCAAGAAAGCCACTGTGATGTCCCGCAGGCAGACCCAGGCCCAGCAGGCAGCCTCAAGGACCTGAGTCTTCACGCAGCCCCACGTCACCTCACCTCTGGGAGGAAAGAGCAAGGTTTCAGAGGTGGTGAGATTTGTTTCTAAGTCGCAGGACAGCAGCTGAGAGCCACCAACCTCCCCCCAGAGGGGCCCAGGGCACACTGGCACAGAGCAGGGCCCTGGGGGCTGGGGTCCTGGCTGCAGCCGGGCATCTCACCTGCACAGCTCATGGCCGTGCTCCTGGGCCCGCGCCAGGCCCTCCAGCAGCAGGCGCCACATCGGCAGCAGCCCGTCCTGGTACAGCAGCAGCAGCAGCTCCTTCAGAGACTGGAGAAGCTGGCTCAGCGCCCCTGGGAGGTGGGGGAGGACCTGGGTGGTGGAGGGCGGAGCAGGTCAGAGCACAGGGGACCTCACCCTGGCGTGGAGGGTCTGTCCGTGTGGGGCTGCATCTTCCCGAGGACTGTCTGGGCAAGGGCAGGCCTGGGTGGCGTTCCCTGTCTTTGGCTTACCCTCTGAGAGAGGCTGGCGAGGCTGTCACCAAACCAGGCCAGGTGAGAGGCACAGTGGGCAGAGAGAAAGCTGACCGTGGCATTGGTCTGGGTCCAGGCCAACTGCAAAGTGGGCTTTGCCATGGTGAGCAGGTGGGAGCCCCAGGCAGGCACCGTTTCTCCTAGCCAGCTGTGGGGAGGCCAAAGGGGAGGGGGCTCTGAGTTTCCTCAGGGCAGCCTGGCCCCCACACAATCGCTGGGGCAAGAAATGCCATGGCCCCTCTGCACCAACTCAGTCATCACCTCCTCCAGCCACGCCACCACTCTGGGCGCATGGCTGTTCATCCATCTCCCCCGGCCCGGGAGGCACCCACCTGTAGCCTTGGAGGCTGTAGGCGTAGAGCGTGGCACACGCTTGCTGGCCAGCAGGCAAGAAACCAGACGACTGAAGCATCCGGCCAGAGAAGGAGGCTGAGGAAAGAGACCTCCCGTGAATGGGGTGGGGTGGGGGAGGCAGCCACTGGAAGCCCCCAGCAGGCTGGGCAGGGCGGGGGCAGAGGGCTCCTAGGGTTCACGGGGCACAGAGCAGGGGCTGGTCTGCCCCGAGCGTGCAGCACAGGGAGGTGGGGGAGAGGGTTCTGCAGGTGTTGAGAAGCTGTGCCCCACTTTCCTGATGGGGCCAGTGAGCAGGAAGCGCGCAGACCAGTGGAACCCTGGCTTCAGGTACCCCAGAAGCAGTCTTGGGTTAGAAAGCCGGCTTTTCTACTAACCTGCTCTGATCTTACGCTAACTGCTAAATCTCTCTAAGCCTCAATTTCCTAAGGAGGTTACACCTATTCCAACAAGCCTGTGCATATGCAGGCATGTCTACACTGGCAGTACCTAGAACATGCTGAAAAGTGTGTGTGTGTGTGTGTGTGTGTGTGTGTATGTGTGCGTGCATGCGCGCGCATACTTGATCTCACCCCACCTTCCCTGCTTGCCAATCTGCTTACCCTGGAAGGAGCCGTGGGACTGGAAGTCATGGCACAGGAAACCCACCACAAACACCAGTGCCAACAGAAGCAGCCGTGTCCAGGGCAGCCGAGGGCCCCAGGCCTGCCGCAGCAGAGCCTGTGAGGGAAGGGGTGGGTAAGTACGGTCAGAGGGGGAGGGCGTGGGCCTGGTTCCCAAGGCGGGCCTTAGGCCAGGCCCTTCAGAAAGTGGACGAGCACTGCAGAGGTAGCGGGGGCTGGGGGGCAGGAGGGCGGACAGGCCCAGGGCGGATGAGGAGTGGGCAGGAGCACCAGGCCCACACCTTGCAGGCAGCATCACAGGCGGCAGCCTCCTGGTTGGCAGAGTTGCTCGTCCTCAGCAGCTCCTGGTTGGTGAGCCTGAAGGACCGAATGGTTTCTTGCAAAGACTTCCACACCTACAGACAAGGCAAGCGGGTGGAGAGCATCACCTGTGGCCCTTTTGAGACCCTGAGCTCCCTCTGCTTTTCCTTTATGCTGAGGGTCCTAGAAGGGCGCCTCTTGGGGAAGTGTAGACAGTGGCTGGGCGGTTTGGACCCAGACAAGGCTCAGCCTTCATGGCCTCTCACCCCTACCTTCTTGGGAATCTGCTCCTGGGACTTGAGCAAGTGGTCCAGCAGCAGGCTGTGGGGAAAGCAGGAAGAGCCAGTCAGCTGGCTCACTGGTGGGTGTCTCCTGCTCCATCCCCAATTAACTCTGCCCCTGGGACTAGGGGCCCCCACCCAACAGACGGTCCCACCAGGCAGACACAGCGAGCAGCACCTTCCTAGAGTCCTAGGACCCACCCAACCCGAGGCACGAGGCTGAGGAACAGTGATAAGCGGCCTCTTTCTGCTTCCGGGACAGGGACAGAGCAGCAGAGGTGGCCACTCCCACCCCACCTGCCTGGATTGTGACAGGTGCTTGGGATACAGCTGCCTCCAGACACTGGCGGTGAGGGGGTCCACAGTCAGGCACTCCGTCAGGCTTCTCAGAAGCTGCACAGGGGGCAGAAGGGAGAGAACAGAGGGCGCATGGCAGCTGGTGAGGGGGAGAGGGCTGACAAGGGGTGGAGACACAGGGCAAGACCCGACGGAGAAAGTTCTCGGAATCTGTGACGGGGGAGGCCGGGACTCCTGAGCTTGGACTTGAAGATCATTCATCTCCTGGCCCCAGGCCGAGGGCACTGCCTTTTCAGCTGTGCTCCTCTCAGGGGAGAGCACAAGGGTGGGGGTGGTGTGTGTGTGTTGGGGGTGGGGCGGTGGTAGCCACTCAGGGGTTGGTGAAGGCTGGGTCTCTACATGGGACCCTCTGGCCAGTTCTCCTCACCTCTTTCTTCATCTCGGTAGGGCAGGTAGGAGTGGCTCTGGACAGGAAGGAGGGGAAATAGGTGTGCAGGGTGGATTCTGGCTTCGCCCCAAAGGCCAGCACCTTCAGCCTCGGGTAGAGCTGACACAGATGCTCCTGCAGGCTGGGGTGGGGATGGGGAGCCAGGCACAGGCTGTAAGGGCAGCTGTGCCACGCGCCCACCCGGCCCAAGGGAGAGTCAGCAAGCGCCTTGCTGACTTGGAGTGTCCTGGGAAAATCTGTTGGAAGCCAGCGACCCTCTCCCCAGAAAAATGCTCACATGCCAGCCACACGTGAATGTCCATCTAACTTAAGGGTCAAGCCCCCTTGAAGCCCACCCTTGTTAAGGACCTCTGCTTTTGGGTGGTGGTGGGTGAAGGTAGGAGGGCAGGGTGCCACCAGGCATCTGTGCCCAGGCCATCCTACCTGGGCGCCAGGGAGTTGTTGGGCATGTAGGCAAAGTCCAGAAGTGGGAAGAGGTCCTTGGGGCCAATCATGCCAAAGCCCTTGGTAAGGTTGGGGTGCATCCTGTCAGGAAAAACAGAACAGACTCGGTGGAAACAGCAGCACCCATGCCAGTTGCTCGGCCAGCACCCAAGCCCCACCTGGCTGCCCTTGTACTCACAGGAGCAGCCGGTCCAGGTAGGCGATGGCAAAGGAGCACAGAGCCTTGGTGCCCAGCACCGGCAGCATGATGCCCAGCCACACTGTTGAGGGTCAGACGGGGGTGGGGGTGGGGTGGGGCTCAAGTGTGTGCTCACCAGGCGCAGAGAGGAGCTCCATGGCTCCCAGCTTGCCCCGCCCACTTCCCCGGTACCTTTTAGGCCTTCGGTGAGGTTGGCAAATCCTGCTTGACCCATGGCCCACATGATGGTCAGACACTTGGCTGGGCGGCTTTGGTGGGATCTGAGCAGCTCCAGGAACTGCGAGGGGTGGGTGGGTAAGGCAAAATGCCAGGCCAACCACCAGAGCCAGGGGGAGGGGTGGGGCTGGTCAGGGGCAGGGGAGCACTGTGGTAGAGGGGTGGGAGGGACTGAGCCCCACTCTGTGGCCTTCACCATGCTCGCCACTTGCTCGTCAGCCACACGGTAGGCATGACTGAGTTGGGCTCTGGCTCTGCCTTCCCATCTGTAGAACGGGAACAGCAGGACTACCTGCCTCGGGGACGGACAACAGATGCCAGCAGTGTTCCTATTAGTACTGGTCTCGCCAGGGTGTTTATGACTGGTCCTTAACTGGGAGCAGAGCGTCCAGCAGTGGGGAATCTGCCTGACCTCCTGGTGGCCCGCTCAGCCTTGCGCTCACCTTGCCCAGGTTTGCGGTGGCGATCTTAGGCTTGTCGTGCAGCACGGCCTGGATACAGATGCGGTAACCGTGCAGCGACTCCCCTGCAGAGACACAGGCTCTCAGCAAACTGAATGGCGTGCCACGCGGCTCTCAAGGCAGAGGTCGCCCTTTTGGCAGCTGTGCAGCCCCATGGGTACTGGCTTCCTCCGCTCTCCCCAGAGTGTCAAGATCAGGGTTCTGGGGAAAGGAAGCACCGCTCCCTGCGACCCCCGCCATGGGTTACCGCCCCCGCTGGCTCCTCACCCGGAGTCTTATCCAGCTCTTGCAGCATGGTGAACAGACAGTGGTCAAAAAAGAGCTCCAGAGACCCCGCGGCTTGGGACAGCAGCCCCCGGATGGTCCCACGCAGCTCCCGGCTCACCAGGCTGTAGGGGTAGTCTAGGGCCAGCAAGCTCTGTGTGAGAGTGAGGACCAGAGGCCCCTGGCACCTCTGAAAGTGCAGACTCTCTGTCCTGAGGCTGGCATTCTCCCCATCTCAGTGAGGCCACGGCCTTCACAGCCACAGGGACGTGGCATATAAGCCAGGAGGGCGGGGCCCGGGCTTTGCTGTGCACGCACTGACATGCGTGCACCCAGCCCTTTCTGGGCTCTCGTGTGCTGTCAAGCCCGGGCTAGCTGGGAAGACTAACCGTGAGTGTGCTGGCTCAAGGTGGGCTCACTCAGAGGAGCTTGTAGCTTGTAGTTGAGATAGCTGGCCAGGTCCTTCAACCACACGGATGGGTTCCCGGAGAACACACTCTGGCTCCTGTCCAGCTCCTTCTGCAGAGCGGCCACGTCCAGCTGCCGGGGACACGGCGCTCGGGGTGAGGCGTGAGCCGGGCGGGGAAAGGGTAGAACTGGGTGGTAGCGGGGAGAGTAGGGCTTTCTGTTATTAAACCTCAGCAGGCCGGTGTAATGTCCCAGTTCTGGCTATTTAGAAAGCATGGGACAGGCCCAGTGGGCCTCTGCTCCAAGGCCCTTCCCTTGTTCAACAGTGAACAGCGGGGTGGGGTGGGAACACCAGGCAGGGACTCCCGGCTTCCCCATCTCCTCCCTGCTGGGCCTGGGGCTTCTCTCTGGTGGCAGTTTCCCCAGAGGCCCCTTTCCATTCTAAGGAAAGGCAACCCTTGGAGTTACCACCTTGTCCTGAACGCCCTTCTCACCTCGTGTAGTGTTCCTCTCCCGTCTTTCACCTGCTCTCCACCCAAAGCATCCACCATCTACTACCCCACCACGGTCTGTGCTGCCTGGCGTCTGGGCCCACTCACGGCTTTCAGCGCTGCCTCCAAGCTGCGGAAGCGGCCCTGCTTCTGGTTCTGGTTTGCGACGGCCGCCACCTTCTTGGGCTGCTTCTTGTTCCCTGGCTTCTTCGGCTCCACCGCAGGGGGTGGGACCTGCTCCTTGTTCTGTCGCTTTGTGATTTTCTCGAAGCCCAACTCATACAGCGTGCTTGTCGTCTGGATCGGGGCTAGGGTAAAGAGAGGCAGGAAGCGGTGTGTGTGTGAGTGTGTGTGTGTGTGTGTGTCCTGGAGGCTCAAAAGCCTCCTCTCAGGAGGAGCCCGCCTGGAGGCCCCTTCTGGGTGCACTGCTGGTAGTTTTCAGCCAGCACAACCCTGAATCTCAGGGGCTCTTCCACAGGCCTGGGCACGTCTTCATCAGGCCCAGCAGAGTAAGTGGACCCCACAGAGGGACCGGCTTCTCTGGTGGGTGGGAGGCCAGGTTTGCCATGTGGGCCCTACTCCAATCCCTCTAGTTTCCAGGGACCGTTCAATGAACAAGTGGCAAGGCTCTCACTTGGGCAAGAGATCAAGATAAAGTAGGTGCCAGACAGAATCCTTGGTGGGTGCTGGCTGTGGGGCTGGGCCCTTTCTCCCACCACTGGGCCTGCTGGTCACTTTAAGAGAGGGACCTGTACAACGACCGGGGATGGCTCTCCCCGTCTCAGACACCTGCGGGGCAGAGGCCAGGCTGGGACCTCACCGCCCCACCGGACGTGAATGCAGTGTCTGAAGACTGGACTGCCAGTCCCCTCTCATGTGGGGAACTCATCCCGCAAAGCAACTCATTTGATCGGGCCTCAGCCCCCTCTTGCGCCGTCCACCTCCGTGGGGCTCGAAAGAGACCACACGCGATTGACGTTTGCTGAGCCAGGAGAGAGCAGCTGATCACGACGGGCGGGCGGGCGGGCGCGCGCGCGCCTCTGACACCCCGGCGGTGTCTGCAGCCCCTGGGCTCGGGGAGCGGCTCCCACGGCACGGGGAAGGGGCGCGGGGAGCGAGGGTGAGCCGAGGGGGGCCGGTGTCCGCCGCGGCGGTGGCGCCAGCGCGGGTACTCACGGGTCAGGTCGAACTTCCACACTCCGTTGGCCTCCCCGAGAGCCCGGCGGTCCCCTCCGCCGCCGCCTTTATGACTGCCGCCGGCTGCAGCCCGTCGCCCCTTCTTCACTACCTCCCAGCGCCCCGCACCCGCTGTCTGGGCCGCCATGGTGCCGACCCCTCCTGCCGCCGCCCCCTCCCCGGCCTTTCCGGTCCGGCGCGGACACGCCGCGCTCTGCCACGTCTCCTTGCGGGTCGTCGCGGCGCGTGACGTCAGCCGCAAGGCATCCTGGGACGTGTAGTTTTCCCCGTTGGTCGGGCTCTTCCTGGCGAGGCTGGAGGGCTGGTCGCGTGTGAGCGGCGCCGTGGTGGCAAGCCTGCAGCCTGTGCCCAGGGAAGCACGTTGGGACGAGAAGCCATTCTATTGGGAAAACCTTGGTCGAGTGCCACCTTGGTGGGGGCCACTCCACGGTGCGGCTTGGTGGCTACCAGATGCCTTTCCGCCCTCTTGGCACGCACTCACTCTGTGACCTAGTTGGGCAGACCGAACCAAATCCGCTGCCGTCAGTGGAGCGACCCAATAGGACAAGGTGGAACTGCCGCCCTGCGTTCCTGAGATGAAATCTTTAGGGGAGTAGAGTCTTCTTTCTCCTGTGGAGTGAATGGTGCGTTCGAACTGCTGACCTTGGGGATAGGGTAGCCTCCTGCACCAGGTCTGCTCAGGTGGGAGACAGCATGTGCACTGTTCTCTGTTCAGACTGTTCTAACGCGGAAATGATAACGGTTTCAGTTTGTCCTTCTAGGAGTCCTGGAAGAATGGCACTGTACGAACAGTTCTCACCGCCAGGGAAAGTTCCAAGGTCAAACCTTTCCTTCCATCTGGGAAGGTGCTAGTTTTTTTGGTTGACTTTGAGTTTAATGGGCTGTGAAAATCTATTATGAAAGAAAAAAGGAGACAGTGGGCCTGAGGGAAGAGGGGTGCTGGTGGGTGTTAGGAAGCATTGTATCTGGGAGGAGCAGGGTTAGGAGCTCCCCTTCTAGGTGGGTAAGGGCTTCCTTTGGTTGTTTCTCCCCTGCCCCCCTCCCCACAGGGCAAAAGTCAATTCCAACTTGCAGATGTGGCAGGACGTGGAATAGAGCCCTACGCCCCAACCTGAAGATGCATGCAGACAGGTCCCTGCCCCTGTAGGGCCTCCTGCCATGCCTTGCTGTATCCCCGGTTCATGTGTGTGTGAGCCCCAAGACTCGAGCATCCCAGCAGGCAGCGGATGAGGGTAGATGATTGTGCTCTGTCCTAGAAGAGTTGCTATTTCTTGGACACCTACAGGCACAGGACAGACTAATTCTTATGACAGGAACCCGACTCGAGCGGATTCCCATTGGATGAACAGTGGAGGGAACGAGGAATTCCTTCGGAGGGAGATTGGGGAAGCTTTCCTGAAGGAGATGGCAGTTGAAAAGGCTCCTCAGGAATGAGAACTGTTCATGCTTGGGAGTCAGCGTGGATGGAGAGCGCGCGCGCCGAGTGTGTACACCCAAACCAAACTTTCTGCCATCGAGTCAACTCCGACGCACAGCAACCTTAGAGGGCAGTGTAGACCTGCTCTTTGGGAAGCTGTACATCTTCCTAGGGGCAGACAGCCTAATCTTTCTTCTGTGGAGCGGCTGGTGGGTTCAAACTGCTGGCTTTTGAACTCCTTCTGCCCCCAGGGCTCCACCTCCAGGTGTAAGGCTCAGTTGATTTGAAGCAAAGGCCTAGAGCCGGTGTCCTCAAACTCCCGGCCACATGCAGCCCACTGAGGACATTTATCCGGTACGCGGGGTGTTTTTGGACTTCAAAATAAGGTATGTTCAGTGTGTATAGGAATTTGTTCATAGTTTTTTTTTAAACTATAGTCCGGCCCTCCAATGGGTCTGAGGGACAGTGAACTGGCCCCCTGTTTAAAAAGTTTGAGGACCCCTGGCAGGGCCAGCGTGGGGAAGGAAGGAGTTGTGTGGACAGTGTTCACTGAGATGGGAGGCTGGAGATCTGAGATCCTGTGTGGAGGGCCTGCCCAAAACCTTGGCAAGCAGTGGGAAGCCACACCATTCGCTGTTTTGGGAAGGCAAGTGGGGCTGGGTGGAGGATGGGTTGGGAAAGGGGAGAGGTGGGAGATGGGCGATGACCAGGTTTTGCTTCCTGCCAGTTCTGCAGCCCCGTCAGGCCTGACCATGCCTGGTGGCCTCGGGTAACCTGGAGATTGAGCTCTGCAGGACTCCGTTATAGCCCAATCAGTAACCAGTTCGTTTTTCAGTTCCCTCTTTAGCTTTACTCAGAGACCAGCAGCAGCCTTCCGTCACCTGTGTGGTCGCAAGAGACTGCCGTGTTTCCGAAGAAAAACTCAACTGCCTCTCCATCGAGGCAAAATAGGCCCACAGAGGGGATAGAGAAGGGTGGGAGGGGCTCTCGTTTCTACTTGTCTGTGGCAGGTGAGCTGTTGATTGGCATCTGCAGGGACGGAAGCCTCCGGCTACACTCCCTGGGCACCTGAGCTCGGTGAGCTGTGTGCACCGTCTCAAGGAGCACGGAGGGGCTGGGCACAGGGGTGTGAGGGAAGAACCCAAAGATGTCGGGTCAAGGAGGGCAGGTGGGTGCAGAAGGTGGAATCACCGCCATCTTGAACTGGTTCTCATTCAGAGAGACCCCATGGGACAGGGTAGAACTGCCCTGTGTGTTTCCCGGACTTAACTCTTTCCAGGAAGAGAAAGCACCATCCTTCTCCCGAGGAGCAGCTGGTGGTTTCAAACTGCTGACCTTGGAGATCACAGCGCAACCCATAACCACTACACCACTCAGGCGCGCTCTCTGGCTGCTGTAACAAATGACCACAAACCGGTGATGTAAAACCACAGACATGCATCATCTTCCGTTCTGTAGGTCAGAAGTCTGGTGTGCGTCTCAGGAGGCTAAAACAGGTCTTTCCTTGTGAGGGTAAGGGAAAACGCGCTTCCTTGTCTTTTCCAGCTTCTAGAGGCTGCAAGCCTTCCTTAGCTTGTGACCTCCTTCCTTTTTACAAAACCAGGAAGGGCAGATTGGGTCCTTGTCCTATGGCACCCCTCGGGTGTCCCCTCTTGCCGCCCTCTCCCTTTGATGTAGCCCTAGTGGTACACTGATGCAGACTGGGCTGCTAACCAAGGGGCCAGCAGCGGGACCCCACCAGCCACACTGCTGGAGGAGGATGGGTAGTCTGCTCCCAAGGGTCTGGCTTGGGGACCCTCGGGAACAGCGCTGAGTTGGAACTGACTTCACAGCAGTGGGGACCATCAAGGGCCCACCTGGATAATCCAAGGGTAATCTGACCTCAAGGTCAGTAGTTCAAAACCACCAGCTGCGCTGTGGGAGAAACGTGAGGCTTTCCACTCCCTCGAAGGAAACCCACTGGGTCGGTTCTGCCCTGTCCCTACAGGTGTGTGAGTTTCAATGGACTCGTTGGCAGTGACTTCGGTTTGGGGTTGGCACCTCCAACTACAATCTTGATTCCCCCCATGCCAGGTAAAGTGACCCATTTACAGGTCGGGGGGCGGGGGGTAATGGCATGGACTTCTCTGGGGGGGGTGGGAGCGGTCATTATCCTGTCTACCACTTTATAACTGGAGGTGCTGGCCTGACAATGGACAGGCAGAACCACTATGTTATCCTTTTATAGTATCTACTTGAAATAACAGGAAAAACTTTTAAAAATTCGGCAAAGGAACGAAAAACCAGGCAGAGAAGAGCAGGCCAAGGGCCTGGTTGGAGAAGAAACACCAGAGCTAACACGGACAGGAGTATCCTCCTTTGTGGGGTGGCAGTCCAGAGGAGGAGGGGAGATGGGTTAGGAGTGAAGACAAGAATTGCTCATTTCAGGTTTAGGTCTAGCATCATCAGAAAAACAGGGAATGGGAATTAGTCCTTAGGGGAATCAGAAAATGAGAGAACCGGTGGTGTGGGAGGAGGGCCCCGGGGCATGGCTGTGGCAGAAACGGCCTGGCTACCCGTGGCTCACAGGGAGGCGAGGAAACACCCACCAGGGCAACTCTGCGGCTTGGCGACATTCCGTTATAATGTATTCACTATAATGGGGTGAGCACTGAGCCACGAGTCTGGAGGTCGGAATGCTAGTGCTGGCTGCTTTTACCTCCCTGAGCGTGCCAGGCCGCGTGTGTGGACGGACCTCAGCCCCTTCAATGGGAACCGAGGGGCTGCTCAGGGCCCTGTGCCGACCACAAAATCTAACGTGGTAACTGGGCCTGGTAACCAAATGGATTTCTGAACTCTCGGCTCCTAGTGGGCACACGGGGCAGTGGTGCCGCTTGGTGGGCTGTGTGGGCACCGCACAGTGGAAGGGCTCCCGGCTGTTCTTGCCAGGAGCAGAACAGCTGGAACACTGCTCTAGCGCCTTGCCACAGAGCCCTCTCCCCCAGCCCTGGCCCCGCTGGGTCCCTCTCCTGGGGAAGCCTGCCGTCCAAGCGGCCCAAAGGAGACGGAGACAAAGCCCTTCTTGTCGGTCCGCCCTGCTACCCCATGGCCACTTTCCTGGACTGCCCAGCTTCACAGCCGAGGCTCCACCCCAGTGTGGGGCGGGAGAGGATGGCGGAGGTGCGGTGCTCTCTGGGAATCAGCTCCGTGGGAAGGGGGCACCGGAGGGGGTAGCGAGCACGTTGCGACCCAGGCCGTGGCACCATGGGGGAAGCGTGGCCTGGACTTATACCACACACGTTTATTTAAATAAAAGCGAACACATAGGCAGGCTGGGGTGGCCCCGGAGGGCGGGGCAGGGGGACACGGATGGGGAGGTGGACGTACAGTGGGGTTCAGGTTGAGTTCGTGTGGTATGAACCAAGCTGCAGGAGGGAGTGGCAGGGGTCGCAGGGCAGGGCCCGGCCTCAGTGCTGGGGAAAGGAAGCGGGAGAGGGTGAGCCCGGTGCTAGGAGATCATTCTGCCCCTCAAATGCTCCCTTTCCTCTGCCTGACCACTGGGCTCCAGCCCGCTTTCCACTCCCCTGCCATCAGCTTTCCCTCGCCACTGGGAGTGAAAAGACAAAATAAATAAGAATTGGGTGAGCCCTGGCCCAGCCCCAGCCCCAGCCCCAGCAATGGGCACGCTGCCCGTCAGCCCAGGGGCGGGGCAGGTAAAGTGCATGGACAATCCAGTGAGTGGACACAGACCAGTGACTCTGTCAAATACAGTGTGCTTGCTGGCTGTGGGGGCAGGGGTGGGGTGATGGTGGGGGTTGGCAGGGGGCGGGTGGCAGCAGCACCCTGGGACATGTTGACGACACAGCGTGGAGAGAAGACAATGGAAATAAATAGTAGGAGAGAGGGGGTAGGCAGGGGGCCGCCCAGTGGGCCAGTGCCACCGGAGGGGGGCCGCTGCCTGCTCACCTGCCCCAGCCCTGCCGACCCCCAGGCTGCCGCACTGATACAAAGCACCGGCCGAGGCAGGCTGAGGGAAGGGCTGTAATGCAGAGTGGGCATGGGGAGGGGCCGCCCCTTAGTACTCGTCCTGGTCTTCTTGCTGTTGTTCCTCGATTTCATCGTCCTCTGGGGGTGCAAATCCTTCCTGGGGGTGGGAAGTGGGGAGGGTAGGTGAGGACACGGGGCTCTAGGTGGCAGCTTAGGAGCAAGGGCCCAGCTTTCCGGGCTCGGGCTCCCGCTCTCTGTGGCCTGCGCTGGCCGGCCGGCTGGCGCCAGCTCACCTCGGTGGCGTAGAGGATGCCGATGATGCCCGAGATGACGGGGCTGTTCTCGCTCTCGTGCTCCTGGCAGATGAGCTCGATGTCTCGGAGCTTGCTGAAGTAGAAGTCACGCTCCTTCTCCAGGCCGTCCACTGTCAGTTTCAAGTCCAAGAGCTGCCACGGGCAAGTGAGCGGGAGACAGGGCAGGCGTTGAAGGCAGACAGTGGTGGCCTCGGCCGGCCTCCCCAGGCCTCTCGGCCACCCTGGCTCGACTCACCTGCTGGTTGAGTTCCAGGATTTGGGCATCTGTTTCATGGCCGCCGTTTCGGGCTGACGGGGGGTTCTTCCGGAGGATGCAGGGTGGGGCTACATTGCTCAGTCGGCCAGTGGTCTGTGTGTTTTTGGGGCCTGTGGGGGACGTCCTCTGAGGAACTGCCCAGAGGAGAAGAGTCAGATGAGGCCGCATGAGCCCACGGCCCGCGCGGTACGAGGAGGACAGCCTGGTGTGACCCTGCGGGGGCAGGCCCATGCGGAAGGCAGGCACTCTTGCCCTCCCTGCCCGGCCTCCAGGAGGGGCAGCCCCTCGAGGCCTCCAGCCTCAGCCACACGTGACACAGCAGCGAGGCAGCCCTCTCTGGCAAGCCTGGGAGAGGAGCGAGGACCACAGGGAACTACAAGAAGGGGTGAGATGTTGGGGGTCGGGGTGGGAAGAGGGAATTTGGGGTGGGGATGGGAGAGTTCAGGGCCCTCTGGTACGACAGCAAGAGTCTGGGGGGAACACATAGCTGGCTGACACAGCCCCTGAATCTGGCTCTGGCTCTTTCCTAACAAGCCTTAGCCCAAAGCCACATGCCCCCATGGGTGCCTCCGGCTCACGACCTAAAGACACCCAGATACCTTCTTCACCAGGGCCTGTGACTGGGGGTGGGGGGCCGCCCCCACCCCACCCCCACCCGAGGCCCAGCTCCTCATCTCAGTCAGGGCTCTGTCGCCCTCTGCTGGGGTCACCCCAGTAGTCTGAGCGCCTGGTCCCCAGCACGGAGGGCGGCATGCTGTGGCTACTTGCTCTCTAGCTACTGGGCTCCCTAGGTGGAGCTGGCTGCTTCTAAAGCCAAGCAAGCAGGGGCAGCAGCGCAAACGGAGGAGCTGGGTCTGCTATGACGGGTTCAGATGCGGCTGAGGCTGCCCCCCCCCCCCCAATCCTTGCTGTGGCCCAAAGGTCCTATGCTCCCTTCTCTAGGACCCAGTGCACACCCCGCTTCCAGAGACTCAGCTCCTGAGGGAGAGGTTAGGGCTCTGGGCCTTTGGGATGGGGGTCGACATCTGATGGAGTCTTATCCCTGGGCACCCAGGGAGCCGGGCATGACCCACAGCGCTGGCCCCGGGATCATGCTGTGACAGGAAGCACCTGCCTGCACCTCCGTCCACCATGGGGCCCTGCCCCCCCCACCGCCCCCCCTGTGGGTGGCTGGTGCTAGTGGCCATCCTCTTAAGGCCATTTTGGGGCCCTCTTGCTCAGCATCATCTGAACTCCGTGATAACAGTCTCCTCCAGGATGGCAGGGCCAGGCCAGGTGCCGGGGGGCACTCCAGGAGGCAGAGCCCTGCAGGCCTGAGCCCCCGCACTCCCTCCCCCAGCTTGGCCCGTTACCTGCAGTGCCAATGAATTTCTTGGATTTGTTGAAGATCTGTTCACCTGGGTTAGGAGGGGGCGCTACGTCCTGGCCCTGACGTGCCAGCAGAGGGTTGTAATCCTTTCCGTCATAGTTTGCGTCAAAGAATTTCTTAAACCACTGAATAAACTCAAAATTATCTTGGAATTTTCCTTTCACTAATTTCTCTACAGGAATTATCTGAAACAGACCACACAAGCAGACTGTTTTAACCACCTGCTGGTGCAGGGCTGTCCCCCTCTGTCCGTTGGGGAATGGGGACGGTGTCCTCTGCAAAGCCCCCCCCCATGGGGGGTGCCCTCCCCCCAGACCCCCGCCACCCACAGCCTGCATGCAGCCAGGGCGCCAGGGCAGCTGGGTGGGCTCCTTTCTAGAAGCCCAGGGAGGACTGTGCAGAAGCGTCCCTGGTCCCACGCTCCGCATGGGGTGGAGTGGGGGTGCAGGAGCCCCGAGTCCTGGGGCTGGCGGTCACTACAGAGAGCAAGGGGACTTTTCTCGAGCTTTAGAGAGAGAAGTAACTCAGGAGACACAGGACCCAGAGCCTCCCCATGTCGGGTGCGCAGGGTCTGGGGCCGAGGAAGGGAAGGCGTGTCGCAGGACAGGTACAAAGTGTTCCGGTGGAGGGTGGCATGGGCGCCAGAAGGGGACACAGCTCCTCAGACCGTCCTCTACCCCCCAGCACAGGCACCTACTTTGTCAACGCCCATCTTCTTGAAAGCTGCTTGTAGCACCTTGAAGTTGTGGATGTACTCATGCTCCAGCTTCGCTTGGAACTTCACCTTCCTCAGGTGCACGCAGCCCGGGAAAAGCATGTCCATGAACTGGCAGTAGGCGGCGCCTGTGGAGCAGCAGGCTGGCCACGGGACCCTCTGCTGGCCTTCCCCCAACCCCAGCCTCTGCTCCATGGCCTGGGCCCGGGCAGGGGCCACAACCCCAGCTTTCCCAGAGTAAGAGCACTAAGTGTATATTCATGCATGTGAGGGGCCAGCACCATACGAAACCTATTTCATATATATAATGCCATCCTGCCGGCAACCCTCTTTAGACAGCTGCTGCCATCCCCGCTCTATGCCTGGAAAACCGAGGCCTAGGGAGTGGTGTGACTTGGCCAGGGCTCTACTCTAAGAAGAAGAGCTCCCCCCTCCACGGGCCAGGCCCGACGCTGGCTTCAGGGGCCTGCCTGGTCTTGGAGCCCCTCTATTCCTCCCTCCCTGCCACCCACTTTGAGCCCTCTTCTGCGCTTTGTGTTGATTGTCCCCCTTCCCTAGACTCATCTGGGCACCCCCGCTCTCCTCCTCGATCCTGACCCCAACGGCACCCCTCCAGCAGCACTCCCCACCCTCCTACCTGAACAGAGCTGTTCTATCTTGGTGTAATTGAGGTGCAGGGAGTCATTGACCCACGCAAGCATGTCATGGCGACTCAGATTCTCACTGGTCACAGATGTGGAGTACACATTGACGGCCATGCTGCAAAGGAAGAGGGGAGGCAAGGTCAGCCCCCAGGGGCCTCCTGCTGCACTCAGCTGCTCGGTACAGAGGTGCTGCATGGTCCCTGGGCCCAGAGAGGAGCACGTCCCACCAGGGCAGCCTGACGGTTTACCATGCACGTCTTCACAGCAGAGACGGGGGATTTACTCTGTGAACAAGCGTCTCCTACATGCTAGACATGTGGGAAGAACACAGACAAAGCAAGCTTTGGCCTCCAGGCCTCAAGGAGTTTGCAGACAGGCCAGTAGCCCCTGCAGGGCCTGGCGCAGTGGCGCACAAAGATCAGGGATGTCACAGAGGGGTGTGTATGTGCATCTCTTCTGCTCAGAAGGGCCAGGGAAGGCTCAAGTGGAGAGATGCTAGAGCTGCGAGGAGGGAGAAACTTCCAGACACAGGGCGGGCTACAAGGTCATTGCAGACAGCAACAGCACAGACAGAGGCCTGGTCCGGCCTGGCCCGGGAAGGCTGAGAAGTTCAGCAGGCCTGGGAGCAGGGCTTTGTGTTGGGGTACGGAACAACAAGGCTGGCAGGGACTCCCTGAGAAGGGCTTTGCTGACCGCCGCCAGGAGGAGCCTGGACTTGAGGTGGGGACAACAGGAAGCCAGCAGGCATTCATGCAGACAGTGGCATGACCAGGCCTTGTTTTACTAAGGCTGACCCTGGGCCCCACATTCCTGGGGGCTGCTGGCTGACCAGCAGCCACTGAAGTTCCCTTTGTCTAGAAACTGCCCTTAATAGTGATTCTTTGTGTGCTCACTGTCCCATCACCAAAGCTGGGACCCTGCGGGCCATCCGAGACGCGGGCTCT